CCTTATAGGAGAGTTTCACCTACAAGCAAGAACCATAGCACAAAGGCTCCAATGTGCTATGATGTCCCAGTTTCATTCACTATATTCTCTAAGTACAAAGGTTCCAAAAGATTAGTTTCACTTTTCCCTAGATATATTTAGTACGTTAACTAGTATCGCAGGGATATTATTTTTCTTTGGTTTTGTCAGTAGCATGTTTGATATAAATTTTATTAAGTGGTAGTATATGTAACATTGCATTGTGGGTAGGAGTTTCCTGCTTTACCCTAGCCACATCCTCAGCTGTCATATGAGCATGTTTCCCATATTTTCTGCAAGTTCTCGCCTTTTTTTCTCCTTGGAAAAGTGACAGCAATAGAAGATGAATTGTTTTAATAATTATAAGAAACATGAATTATTTATACAGTAACATTAAACAAGTATGGATCACTATGTACTTTGAAAAACTGTCCAAGGGAGAAAAAAGTAATCCTCACAATTAAAGTCCTAAATTCGTGTGAAATAATGTTAAAGTAAATTAACACAGAGGAAGGACTTAAAATTGTTAAAAGAAAGAAAATCTCTGTAATCAGATGCCAATACCACCTAACAAATGAGGTGTACTATATCAAGCTATAACGATAATTCGCCTTGAATGTTAGAAGCTGCAGACCTCCTACGTATTCATTAGTGAAGATTAATGTCAATATCGCCTACAAGGACCTTAAGAATCTACTTTGAGCTTTTATAGAAATGTCAAAACAGAGAAAGAGAAAGCAGAAAAGCCTAGAGGAGAAAGGGAAGAAAGTGGGAGGAGTGGAAAGGAAAAGAGAAGGGGAGAGAGGGAAACAGAAGTTAACTACTTTCTCTTTAGGCATCCAATTTCCACATCATCTCACGGTCAGCCAGAAAGCTGCTTATACCAACCAAATGAAGTTGTTCAAACAATCATGGATATGGCAGTGTTTTGGGTTTTCATAAAACTGAAAGACACTGCAGAGGAAAACAAAGAGTACTCCCATTACAAAAAATATCACATTTTATACAATACATATATATACACACACCACATAAATGTTTTAAAGTACCACAAAATAATACCTTGTACATACATACAACAGCACACGTGTGTGCAGTTAACATGGATATATATCCCATTAAAATAAGAAAGCAGAATTAAATCTCTCATAATCATCATAATTTAAAATATTAATAAAATTATATGTATTTTACTAATATAAACATTTTTCAAAGCATCAATATAAGATCCAGTACATTCTATATATGTCTCAACAGCTATACATTAAATCCAAAAAAACTGTCAAAAAAATTGCCACATACCACACTGAAACAATAAATTAAGAAAATTCCCTGTTGAAACCTCATAATCAATGAGACCATTTTAAGCCAAAATAGGATTTCTACAATTTATACCACTCCTACATCAAACCTATTTTGCTTCTACTGTTCTCAACTAAAAGAAAAATAGAACAGCAACAAATAGAAGTTTAAAACAATTAAAAAAAAAAAATAGAAATGGGCACAAGACTGATAGTGATAAAATGACTATTATAATAGGATCATTAATTCAGAAAATTTTAAAAATGATTCAAAAGGTAACAATGAAGCTATATGTAGTATTTAAAACATTACAGTGTTATATCATCTAACAATATACAATATAAAAAGTTCAACCAATGTTGACAAACTTATTAAACATAAGGTAATGGGGAAGCAAAATTACTTTTGTGAAACTATTTTCAAGTTCAAAGCTATATTTCATTTCCATGGCATTACAATACATAATTTATACAGCAGACTTAAATTCATTACTTACTTCAACATAATACTCATATATCCCCCGAAAAAACGAAGTGTTGAGGGTCTTTAAAAAACAGACAACAACAAAAAAAACCCCGTGGTTTTCATTTCTGATGTGAAGCATAATCAAGAGCTTTATCTGCAATGACTTTGCTGAGTCAGTCTCCATCATATGTGGTAAGCTATTTCTAATGAAACAAACTGTCAATTATCAAATGTGTGTGTACCCGTTATCACTATTGTTTTTAAATTTTTACCCCAAAGTAATATTTACTCCAAAGAGGACAGATTTTCAATTTAGAAAAAGAAAAAAAATATGGATGTGTTTTTGTGCGTGCAGATAATGAATACACAAACTTTAAAGCTCATGACCTCACTATGTTCTCCAGTCAGAATGAGATGGGCCTCACCCAGAGCAGAAAGGTCATAGTCAACAATATCTACTAAGCTATTAGGCAGTAAGAGTGCTTTATTCTGACCTAAAAATTATGTGCAGAGGGTTACCTGCAAAAGAGAACAAGCAGTTAAGAGACACATAGATGTTAGAAATTATTCAAACACACACACAGTTAATTTAGAGGGTAAAAGTACACTTAATTAAAAAAAAATTTTAAGGGAGAAAACATTTAGCAAAAAGTTGGGGTTACAAGATGTCACGGAATCCGAACTGGAAAACTCAATCTGAAAAGAAAAAAGCATTTACTTATCAGACTACTACATTTTTTTCAATTGCCTAATTCTGCGCTATTGTATGAGCATATGGAATTAAGCTTGAAAACTCCACAAATTATATGGACAAAGCTCTCCTTTAACTTACTTTAGATATTCATTAGAGCTATGGATCCCACTGCACGCCTTCTTTAAGAAAGAGAATCAATGAATGACTTTTCTCTTTTTGTACGAATAACTGCATGTTAAATGAAATCTTTTAGTTTTCAATGTAAAATCTGTTTACATACATGATGAGGCATGATAAATCTGTATTTTGAATAAACACTAAAATGTATTTCTTTGATCACTAAAAGTTTATTATGGAAAAGTTCTAGACATTTGAATAATAAAGGATTAAAGTCATTTTCATGTCCTCCCAGTGTATTTTGGTGGAATTATTTTTTTCTAAGAAACTTATGAACACATTAGTACATTTATCTTTACCGAATATAAACCAAAAGCAGATATTGAAGTATGCTAGAATGACCACACGAAGGGACATTTTGGCTCTAATATCTTCCTTAGTATTTCCCAGCCCTACCCCATTATATACCCTGAATAATGTTGTGTAATTCACTGTCTCCGCCCACCCTCCCAGTCATTTACTTCATGCCATTCCTGGTTACTATCACACCAGGAAGAAGTCTAACATGCAAATTCAGAGTGGCGTGGATAAATGGCCAAAAAATGCCTAGAAAATTGGTCTGTTCAGCTTGATAATTTTTGTTGAAAAATACCCCATCGCTCTCAACTGATGAAAACAGGAAGCTCTATTCATAAATATGAAATTCTCTGCCTATGATATATAATCATCCTAATAAGAAAATGAGTTCTATACATACATGTCCAAAGGGGCAAAAAAGGAGATAGTTTCCCAAAGATGTTTCCAATTTTCTTCTGAATCAGAATTAGCAAATCGAGACGACTCACATACTCTGTGAGCATTATTCCTTACTACACACAGCATTTTGTAATTTATTTCAAAGCTTCTATTATAAACAAAAAATACAGCTTCTGTTAACCCACTCCATTCTGAGCTCAGAAAAATCAATAACATTTAACAATCTAAGTTACAACATAAGAATTTTACTTTATATTTGTATAATATTTGCTATCAAAGGCTCTGTTAAAGCTAATATCCAAAGAAACTATTTAAAGGATTATACAAAATGAGTATATTTCCTTGAAAAATAAAAAATTATTATAAGCATAAAGAAAAGTAAGATCCATCCAATAAACTATGCTATAATTCTTGCTATTCATTTTTATAAGATACTCAAACTAGCCATGAGATAAAGGTAAATGTAATACAAAATGTACTAATTATATTTCATCTTTATTGTAGGAGCTGGCATCTAATATTGATCATACATAAACTAGACAGACATGATTTAATATTTGTAAAGGAATTCCCAGACTAACACTTTCATGACAGCCAATTACAGTCAAGCCCAGCAAGCAGTTTGCAACCAGACCTTTAAAAAGGTAAACTTTTTTACAATGAGTTACAGATTCACGAGTTTAAGAAGACAAGAAAAAGAAAAACAGAAGGACTCCAATCACCCAGCAAATATGAAGCAGACCCCAGAATGTGATACAGTCCAAAGATGTAAATTATTGTAAATCATCACTGTTGTTCAGGATTTCACACACCACCTCTTGAGCCAATTTTGCTCACTTCTCCACAGACACAATAATGAACCAAATAAAAGGAGGCACCAAAAATATAGGAGGGGGGGATAGAAAAGAAAGCCCCCAACTGCAGAGCTCTGCTCCACAGACGCTTAACCTTACAGGAGTTTGGGCTCCTTCAGCATTTGTATTCTATCCAAATCCTCATGAGTCACAAAAATTAAAAAGCTATATCCTTCTGGATGCCAGGAAGGACCTTACCACAAGCCTTTTGTCAGAGGGAGAGAGAGAAAGAAAGAGAGAGCATGAGCAAGGGGGGGAAGCCACAGTGGTAGGCAGTCCCACTTGACTGTGAGTACTGTGAGGTCACAAACCACATGATTCTGTCTCTCCAGTAATAGTGCTTGCAAAAAAAAGGAGTTTGAAAGCTTTTGCTTTTTTGGATTGTGTGAATGCTTCATTCGCCTCACAAACAACCACAGAACCACAAGTGCGGTGCAAACTTTCTCCAGGAGGACAGCAAGAAGTCTCTGGTTTTTAAATGGTTAATCTCCGCAGGTCCCTACCAGCCACCGAGACCAACAGAGTCAGTGAGTGCTCTCTAAACCACAGTCTATGCAGTAATAGTAGGTCCTTCCAATATTTGCTCATTCTCTTTTTTGTTTTGTTTCCTTGCTTTTCCCATGCTACCAGCTACATAATTTCTTGACAGAAAAAAAATAAATATCAAGTCTATGTACTGCAGGCATACTGTAAAACTAAAACAAGGTTTGGGTATGGTTTGTGTTTTCAGTTTAAGGCTGCAAGCAGAATTTACAACAGAGGGTACAAGTTCTATCTGAAAAAAAGGAGGGACTATGGCATCAAACAGCCTCTTCAGCACAGTGACACCATGTCAGCAAAACTTCTTCTGGGGTAAGTGTTATCATATTTTAAAATCCTATCAGAGATGAACCTGTTAAACAGAAAGGTATGTTGCTCGGATAAACTTGCTAGCTTCGCCGGCTAACATTATATGAAAGGTCATAATGATGCTGTTTTGTTGCACTGAAAGCTGAAAAATGAAATTGCAGTACAAATGTGCTTCTGGCATCTGTAACTTATCTACTTCTCGGGCTAATGACTTGAAATAGAAAAAAATTAAATTATCTCACATTAGTCTAAATGTTTTCTAGGGTTATAGAAATGAGGTAGCTGAAACAGTAAAGCAAAGCTTAATATTCTCATTAGCCCTCACTGAAATAAAATTAGACACTAAATTAGTCAAAGTATTGTGAAAAGTATTCATTCCGGCAGCTCCCAATATTTGAGCAAACTTTAAAAAGGAAGCAATTTTACAAAATAACAGATCACAGAAGTATCTTGACATTATACTCAAGCATGCAAAACAGAAAGAAACCTGCAGTATGACTAACATTTTAACCAGCTCAACTAAAAGATATCTATTTATAATTTTAAACTGCATCATAAGCTATCTGCACAAGCTTGTTTCTAAACAATTTTACAGAACTAAAGCATATATTCAACTGAAAAAAATTATGATAAGTATGTAACAGCCATTTTTAAAAACTCTTTATATTTGCCCAGGAATCCAAGATATTAAAAAGCTCACAGACGTCTTCAAAAACTTACATGCAATCATAACTTTCTATATAATTTTCATTTACATCTATACACTATTATCCATATGTAGAACTTGTTATAAACACACAGCAAACATCGAAACGTCTAGGATTCTTTTAATCATATTCTTGAATCTACCAAGTGAGTTATCGTTTAGTCTCATAAAAAGGAAAATTCTGTAAGGATATTCTGCATGATTTAAAAGAGCCAGACCAATTAAGTCAACCTGGACTTTAAATAAAACAGGCATAATATGGTATTAATATTTAATTTCCAGTTAGTGTTGATACAAAAAGTAAACTACTTTAACATTCATCAGCTAAGATGGTATTATAGTAAAATAGCTAAACACTTACAAGATTTTCTTTATGATGTCCAACATGTTCTACAAGACAAGTTTATAAAATTTTCTTTATCCCTTAAAATAAATCCTTTTGCTGTGTATACCTGTATTAACTTTGCTTTATAACTTACAACTAACGATTGGAGTTTCCTTTACTCCTCCTACTTCACACATTTTAACTGGCTACCAGAGGATCAGTCTTAGTTTCGGTCAAAGAGAAATAATTAAACCTGAAGGAGAAAAAAGGTTTCTCTTAAAAGGGTGAGGAAATGTACTATGTATTTTACCAAAAAATGTAAAACTGCTGAAGTGACTCAACAACTCTAAGTGGACCCCCTCAGTTATAGCACATCCAATATAGTAATCACAGATTATTTTTTTAATGTAATGGAAGGTAATAAGCGTTACTATAAAAACTTCTGCATTAAGGAAGCAGAACATATACACAACTAGACTGCATTAACAACTCTTATAATTATAGTTTCTATGTGGAAACTTTTGCTGTTCCTACTCAAGAAGAGGGGAAAAAAATGCTTAAAACGATTGTTATATGGAGGAATAACTTGAAACAGACACCTCAAGAAGTTAAGATACTCTTCACAATATTACTCTGCTTTAAAAATATAAAGACTTTTCAAACCAGATCAGGAACATAAATTTCAAGCACTATTTCAGCATTAGATTTAAAGTTAATATAGTCACAAAAATATGTTAAAATGTCCTTTATTCTATCATGTCAGGGAGTCTTATATTTCTGTAACATCTTTAATAACTATTTCTACAGTAAAATTTACCAAAATTTGATCAAGTTAGAAACAAGGCAGAACAGTGAATTAGATAATCTTCTATCACACATCATACATGCTTATACATCATAACTTAAGTCTTCCTCTTCTGGAAAGTGGAATTTACCCCTTCCCGCACCCAAACAGTATTGGAGAGCCTGGATAGAGAACATAAAATGAACCCACTTCACCGGACTAATTACAGGTGGGTGGTGGACAGGAGGTACAGGGTATCATCACACTCCAAACATTTCCCCTTTCCGGAATCTATCTGAAGTCTGAAACCTCACGTTAGGCTTTAAATTTTTACATAACTGATCACCAAAATAACCTAATGAAATGTCAAAAGTATGTACTCCAATTTTGTAAAATACTTTTAAAAGTTCAGGCTCTTCCTAGGTAAGGGACAAAACTGACCAACTGCTTCACCTCAAAATAATGAGGGAAAAGTGAGTGAGTGTATGCGTGAGTGTGTGAGAGAGTGTGTGTATATATGAATTTTCAATCTGCGCTACTCAAAATCTGTTCATTATTTATCATAAATGAAGTCTGTTAAAATAAATAGATGTAACTCATGGAGTATCTTACCATTAAAAACTTACTTATGAAAATATATCAGCTGACAGACAATTTCTACATAAAACTTCACAACTGATCGTAGTGTCCGACAGAACGTGATGTGTGAACACTGACTTCCAAAACAATACTTGTGGTTCATATCAATGATAGTGACTTTAGTTTCAAGATTGAATAGAAACAAAGTGTCACAACTTGCTTCTAAAATAAGAGCGCTAAACTCCAAAATTCAGGGAGATGATTTAAAAAGAACATACATAGAGGATCACTCCTATTAAAAACTAACAAGACTGATGCAATTTCCAAAGGTACTTACAATGAATTATTTTACATAAGAGTAAATAATCATAATTTTACATGAAAAGTGGTAAAGATTTCACATTTAAACATTATATTTTAGAATGTAAAAGATTTAAAAGAAATCACAGAAAAAAATTTTTGTTAAGTCTATGTAAACCTCCTGATAGTCTTTAAATCACAAGAAAGCATGAAATACACATGGTTATATTATGATATATTCTAGTCATTTTAAAAGAAGAAAAAATTAATCTATTCAATTACACCCTTCAAGCTAATCACTGATAGTTTGACTTATTTAAATCAGTCATGCTAATGCTAAATTCAGTAAGATAGAAATGTTCCAGTTTGTTAAAAGAACACTGAAATATTTGATGGTTAAATAAACTGCAGAGGGGGGAGAAAACTAACTCACTGAAGGCAGTAAGATTTTATCAAACACACAGAATTAATCTTTATTGAATAGAACCATTCACAAATCAAAACTCACTGTACTTCAATACTTTCAAGCAGCGCTAATCAATTACAAACCTTTTCTAGTGCTTCAAAACTCATGTGCTTTCAATTTTATACACTGGTGGTCCTCAAGTACTGTATTGGGGCTGAGTTAAGACATTCTGTATCACAACTTTTTTTCCCCCAACAAATATTCATCTAGAGGGTTTTTTTTACCTTCTCACGAGCTGCTCACATGAAAACTGTGGTAATATTTTTATACTGTACTTCTTTGTTGAAGCAAAAGGTTAGGGGTTACCTAAATACCTCAACTGTATATACAAAAAAGGGAAAAGGTAAGTATTCATATAAAAAAATCCAATGGGACTGGATTATTTATTTTTGCATTTCCTATGATTAATGATGCAACCATGCATACTTGAAAACTAATGGCAAAACAGGGTAACATCTCAAACTCCTCTCCAAAGCATACAAATACCAACCTTTGATGCTGTTCTAACCTTTGTTCCAAGAAACTTAAATGGGACAACTCTAAGACAACGGTGAGGTCATACGAAGCTCCTCAAAAGAATTAAGATTGCAAATGCAATTAATTACCTAACGGAAGTCTTTAGAGATAATTTTACATTAAGTTTCACTGGAACAGTCTACCTCTACACTGTGTCTCTGTAAAAATAATATACATATGGTCAAACAGGCAAATACCTTCAATATGAAAAAATCCTTCCCACGAACAAAAAACTATAATATGATTAAAGCATAACTATTTTTCCTAGCTATTTGCCATGCAAAACTTATTAGTAAATGGGTGCTAGCAAAATCAATGCTAATTTACACAGTCTTCCTATGAGGTAACCAAAATGCACTATCTTTATCTCCTACACCAGTGAACTCCACTGAATACAAATTTTTATCCAAAAAAAAAAAAGAAGCCTGTCATTAGTCTCCCATAATAAGGATAACAATGAACTCCATACTCAAGTATTTTTTAAAGACCAAAATACTTTTAAGTTGTCTAAAGTACATGGAAATGTTTCAAGAAATATGAAACACTTAGTTTTAAAACAAATTTTCAGAGAAGGAAGTTTCACATAATGAAAATATACACCTTGATACAATCTATTGCCATTTCAAAGTTTATGGAATTCAGTCAATATGTATTTTGTTTAATGTGTTACAATTCAAAAAATAATGGGGAAATTCTCAAAGGGAGCCTCCTTACAATTATAACCACAGCTGACCACAAGCTTTTGCCCATTTAACAGCAAGCACACATACATTCCCACATAATTTTTAAAGATCTGTATAGCAACTGAGATTAAATGCTCTTTTATTACATTGTATACGAAAATCTTCATCTTATGTTGAATTCTTCGGAATTTCTCTCCTTTATATTATTTACTAAAGACATAGGATTCAACTTTGGTACAGTGCTGAATGTAAGCAACACTATATCAATCATTTTGGGTGTTTACTGTTGTTGTTGAAAAGGATGTTAACTCTAAGGTATATTTTTTCATAAATATGCTGTCTTACATAAATAAAAACCTCATCATTCATCAGGATATCTAAGATAACTCAAAAATAAAAGGAGCTGTAGAATTGAGTTCTACATAAGCATTTAATACATGCAGTGAAAAAACTTCATTATTTATACATCTCCTATAAATACTCTATGTTCTTGTTACTACTCATAAGTCCAACATCCAACATGCAGTTCAGGATTAGAAATCATACCACGTGTGACTTTAGCTCTAAGTGATTTTCAATTTTCCAATCAACTGCCCACAGAATAAGGATTTCTGCACTATATACACATACATTAAGTGAATGCA